CTCCCTCCCTCCCTCTCTCTTCTCTCTCTCTCTCTCTCTCTCTTCCCCACCCTCCCTCTCCACTGCCACCATACTAATAGTCTAATAGTCTCTGGATACCTGGAACACTCTGGTTTACCCCTCACCTTGGACCTTTGCACATGAGGAGCCCTCTAAGTGCAATTTCTTATCTCCTTACTTATCTCTCCTACTTTAGACCTCAGTTCAATTGTCAGTTTTTTGAGAAGCCTAGCCTGTGCTCTTTGAACTAGGTAGATATCCCAGCAATGTCCTTCCACAGCACCCTATGGTGATCCATCAAAGGAGACAGCACTTTATTATTTACTATCTATTTAGTTATCTGCCTTCATGTAGGCACTCGAATCACTATTACGGCAGGAACCGTTTCTATTGTGCTCACCACTGATTCCTCGGCTCCTAACATGATGCTTGTTCCCTATTAGATAACAGGTGCTTAGAAAATAAACTCCAACATTAACACATGCCTGACACATGAGTAGCTTATTTTATTCAATCAAGGTTTATTGAATCAATTCATGAGGACATGACAAAAATGGGATTCACACCAGTGAGTGTTTAATCCGAGCATTTCTAAAAGACATGACTTAATTCTTCAGGGGCCCAAGCTACTCTGGTCATTGGGATGCCACTTTGTTACTTCTCTCTGGACACAACTAGAAAGTGGAGGTCCACTTGTGTTGATGGTACCCTTTAACTCCTCACTCCACAACCTGTAATTTGTTTTTGCAGCGCAATTAGCAACCACATTACCTGCCTGTTTTAAGGCAGTATCCAAAATCTGTGGGAACATCAGGAAAGACAGGTACGTGGAAACCGAAAAGGAAATGTCATCCCCCTCTCCTCTGACGCCTTCCAAACACCACCTCCCTTTCTCCTCTTCCACAAAAACCTCTGCTCATCCCTAGCACAAAGTAATTCGATACACATTTACAAGATGACCATTATCCACGATCACTGTCCCAAAAGCCAAGTGGAAACACCAGTACTAAAGCCTAAAACTATTCAGCTGGGGAAGTCTTGCTCCTCTCAAGTTTCTAGTTACAGTATTCGGAAGTGCAAATAAGACCCGGCAGAGTGAGCATCCAATTCGTCTGAGTTCGAGCAGCATTTTATACGTGGTACTATAAGTATTTGTCCTTTGTGCCCTCATCTCAACACCTTGGGCTGTAAAGCACATTAAGAAAGAGTTTCTCAATTTATTTCTCAATCTCTGATGCTAGTTCAAAGCCAAGCACACAGCAGTCTTAAGTATTACTGAAAATAAATGAAACAGGCCACGTCTCCTCCGGCCTTGAACCTAAATACCCGTAAATGTGCACCCCTAAGCAAGACACTACACCGCGCTGGAATTCAGTTTCCCCATCTAGGCCTCCAAGGGCTCCTCAAACTGACAACCTCTAGGTCTAAAGCGCCGCGGAGATCTTGCCACACGTTTAAAAGCAGAGGGAAAACAAGCCCTCTATTATTTTCCGGCCCCACTGGGCGAGCGCGCGGCGCTGCGGATCACTCACCCTCCCTAAACCAGGAGGTCATGTAGCTCAGGATGTAGGTGGGATCCAGGATCTTCCTGACATAGTCGCCGAAGGCTTGCAGGTTCCGCCGCTGCTCGGTGGTCATGCCGGCCCCGGCTCCCCGCGAAGGCCCCGCTGCGCCCCGCGCCCTTCGAAGCCTCTCCAGAGAAAGAGGAGGTCGAGGCCAGCCGGGAAGGCAGGGACTTTCCGAGGAAACGAAACAGGAGAGGCGGAGCCGCCGAGGAAGTTGAACAACTAGAGGGAAAATCGAAACTGCAACTAGCGGCCGCCGGCGCGGGCGGGGCATCGGGTTGCAGACCTGGACGGCGCGGTGGGGGTGTCCTGCCGCGCCGAGGTCGCCCGCTGACCCGGGAGGACCGCAGAGGACCCCGGGGATGACTTTTTGTCTCGTGTGTCATCTTTTTTTGTTTTGCTGTCATAGCGGTAAAGTTGAGACCCAGTCAAATGCGCACAATGGAAGTCTGCGATTTGGTGGGTTTGGAAGACCGCGGGCCGGTGCAACCGCAGTTCCCAGCTCGCCTGGTCCCGTGGTCAGTGTATGACGTTTACCTCTATAGGAAACCGCCACCTGTTTTCCTAAACCACTGTAACCAGTTTGCATTTCCAACCGCAGCAAAGGAGAGCGCCATAGGTACACACACTGGTCAGCCTTTTTCTTCAAACAAACAAAAACTTTCATCTTGGTCGCTGTAAAATCGCATGTTATTGTGTTTTTAGCTTTAATTTCCTATATAATAAATGATGTTGGCCACATTTGCATAGGTTACTGGAATGCTTATATCTTCTTTTGGGAAGCATCTACTCCAATTCTTTTTTTTTTTGCCAGATTTTGGAGTTTTGTGTGTGGTTTTAATGGAGTAACAGGAGTGATTTATTCAGTCTGGATACAAAATTGCTAAATATACATATTCGAAATATCTTCTCCCAGTCTGTGGCTTACGTTTCATTTTCTCAAAGATGTATTTTGATGAGCAAAAGTTTGTATTGGTGAAATATAATTTATTAGTTTTTTCTTCTGTTTATTGCTTTTTGTCTTCTCTAATAAGACCTTTGCCTGCCCCGAGCATGCAAATATTCTATCTTTCCTGTTAGAATCTGTATGTTTTTAGTTTTTACTTTCAGTTCTATGGCTATCTCAGATTAATTTTGTTGTGCTGTGAGATAGGGGTCAAGGTTCATTCCTTTCCATACTTGCTTTTTTTTTTTTTGAGTCCGAGTCTCACCCTGTCACCCAGGCTGGAGTGCAATGGCATGCTCATGGCCACCTCAACCTCAACCTGCTAGGCTCTGGCAATCCTTCTGCCTCAGCCTCCCCAGTAGGTGGGACTACAGGTGCTCACCACCCACCCAGCAAATTTTTTGAATGTTTTGTAAGACAAAGTCTTGCTATGTTGCCTAGGCTGGTCTCGAACTCCTGGGCTCAAGCAATCCTCCAACCTGAGCCTCCCAAGTAGCTAGGACTACAGGCATGTGCCATGGCACCTGGCTATTCTTAAATTCCATTTTGAAGACAATTTAATAAATTTAATTAAAATGAATCAATTTAGCATAAATGGAATCATTTTTTACATTTTCATTTTCAAGTAATTTGTTGTCATAGAAATGCAAGTGATTTTTGGTTTTTGCATGATAATTGTTCTGGTAGTTGTTTTGTAAATTCCTTAAAATTTTCTAGGTAAATAATCATGTTATTTGTGAATACATAGTTTAACTTCTTCCTTTCCAAGTTTTGTACCCTCATTTCCTTACAGTTTTACTTCTTCCTTTCCAATCTTCATGCTTTTTATGTCCTTTCCTTTCCTTATTGTACTTCCTAAGACCTCCAATAGGAAGCTGAATATAAGTCGTGAGATCTGATTCTCTTGGTGGAAAAAAAAAGGTGAGAGTTGATATACCATTACCTTTTACTAATTTCAGTGGAGAAATGATCTATGTTTCACTTTAATTACAATGTTAGCTGTAAGTTTTTCTTAGATGCCCTTTATCAGATGGATAAAGTTCTTTAATTACTGGTTTGTTGAGAATTTTTACATTGCATGAGTGTTGAATATTTCAGATGTTTCTTTCTGCATCTATTAAAGTGATCATATGTTTTGTTAACCTACCAAGTTTCATTAATTGATTTTTGAATGTTAACCAGCATTCCTGGGATAAATCCCATTTGTTCATACTATAGCATTCTTTTTATATATTTCTGGATTCAATTTGCTGATATTTTAATAAAATATTTTTGTGCCTATGCTCATGAGGAATATTGGTCTGTAATTTTCTTTTCTTTTAATGCATCTTTTAGGTTCTGGTGTCAGGGTTATGCTAGCCTCATAAAACAAGAGCTTGTCTAAGATTGGTATAATATTTCTCCCATAAATGTTTAACAGAAATCACCAATAAAACCATGTGGGCTTGAAGTTTTGTTTGGTGATTCTTTATAATGAATTCAATTTATTTACTAAATATAAAGCAATTCTGATTTTTAAATACATCTTGAATTAGTTTTGGTGAGTTGTGCTTCTAAAGTGTTAAAAATAATTAAATGGGCCTATAATCCTAGCACTTTGGGAGGCCAGGGCGAGTAAATTGCTTGAGCCCGCGGCTCAAGACCACCCCAGGGAACTTGGCAAGACCTCATCTCTACAATAAAAAAATAAACAGCCACGCATGATAGTGCCCGTCTGTAGTTTCCGCTACTCAGAAGCCTGAGGCGGAAGGATCGCTGGAGCCCAGAAGTTTGACGCTGGGGTAGCCATGAACGTGTGTGCCATTGCACTCCAGCCTGGGCGAAGGAGTGAGACTCCAGCTCAAAAAAGCAAAAAACAAAAATATTGAAATGGGAGGTCACTAGACTGAAGCAGCTGTAACACCCTTGTTAAAGAGAAACTTAAGCTCAGCTGATGACAGGTATTCAACTTGGCATTAGTTATACCTTCTCATTTGGATAGTACAGATAAGGCAATTGCTCAAACTTTAATCATTCAAAAAATTTCCTTGTTCTGCTTCCCTTCAACCACCTCTAGCCAAGACCCAAACCACTTCGGTTTGTAGCTGCTCAATTCATGAATCACTGCTTAAGCACCTTAACATTTCCACATTAGTGGAAAAGTTTATCTTTTAACACAAGGAATCTGATCATTCCCTCTAAATTTTTGTTAAACTTACTGGCATAAGGTGTTCATGGTAGTCCATATTTCTTTTTGCTTTTTAAAAAAATCAATCTTTTCAGGGATTTACCAATTTTATTTGTCTTTTCAAAGACCAGCTTTCGTGTTAATAATTATCTTTTTCTGTTTTCTTTTTCATTGATTTCTGCTCTAATCATTAGTCTTTTCTTCTTCTTCCTTTGGGCTTAATTTGCTCTTCTTTTACTGGCTTATTTTAAGGTAGAAGCTTAGATCACTGACTTTATACTTTTTTCTCTTTTATATAAACCTTTGAGTCTATAAATTTCCCAGGAGAGAACTTCTACCATTCCATAAATTTTGATATACAGATGGTCCCTGACTTATGATGGCTACAGTTTTTTGACTTTACAAAGTGATACACATTCAATATAAACCATACTTTGAATTTTGATATTTTCTAGGCTAGTGATATGTGGTATGATACTGTCTCGAAATGCCAGGCAGTAACAGATCCAGGCTCTCACTTAATCATGCAATAAGGAGGGTAAAAACCAATATTCTACAGGTTAGGTGTATTAAATGCATTTTGACTTAGCAATACTTTCAACTTATGATAGGTCTATTAGGACATACCCTATCATAAGCCAAGGAGCACCTGTCATGTTTTTTTGGTTTTTTTTTTTGTTTGAGTTGAGCTCTCAATCTGTCACCCAATCTGGAGTTCAGTGGCATGATGATGGCTCACTGCAGCCTCAAACTCCTGGACTCAGGTGATTCCTCTGCCTCAGCCTCCCAAGCAACTGGGGACTACAGGCACATATTATCACACAGGCTAATTTTGTTTGTTTGTTTTTTGTAGAGACAAAGTCTCCCTATGCTGTCCAGGCTGGTCTTAGCTCCTGAGCTCAGGCAGTCTTTTTGCTTCAGCCTCCCAAAGTGCTGGAATTACAGGTGTGAGCCACTGCACCTTGCCTGTAATGTGTTTTCAATGTGACTTTATTTGCAATAGTTTCTAATACCCCTGTGATTTCTTCTTTAACCCCTGGGTAGACTTCTGATTTTAATCTATTGGGGTCAGAGAGCATATGCTGTAAGATTTCAATCTTTTGAAACGTATTGAAACTTGTTTTATGGCCCAGCATATGGACTAGCTTGTTATACATTCCAGGTGCACTTAGGAAGAATATGTCTTTTGCAGTTCTTGGGTGTAGTGTTCTACCATGTTGGTTATGTTTACAGTGTGGTTCAAGTTTCCTATATTTTTACTAACTTTCTGTCTACTTGTCCTGCCAAATTCTGAGAGGAAGTGTTAAAGTATACAACCATGATTATTGATTTTTCCACTTGTCCTTTTTGTTCTATAAGTTTTTGCCTCATAAATCTTGAAGCTCTATTATTAGATGCAATCACATTTAAGAATATTATGTCTTCCTGATAAATTACATATTTTATCATTATAAAATATCCCTTTTTGTCTGTTAATACAAAGTTTATATCAAAGTTTACTTCATGTGATGTTACTATAGCCATATCAGCTTTTTTATGCTTATTGTTTGCATAGTATATCTTTTTTCGATCCAATTGCTTTCAACATCTAGATTAAAATTTAAAGTGCATCTCTAGTATACAGCATATAGTCGAGTCTTGCTTTCTTATCCAGTCTGACTCTCTCTGCCATTTAATTGGAGCATTAAATCCATTTGCATTTAATTATTGATAAGGGTTTTAAAGTGTAATTTTGCTGTTTGTTGCATCAAATTTTGTTCTTCTCCTCCTCTGTTCCTTTGATTTGGGTTAAGCAAATATAACTGTAATCTCTTTTAGCTGTAACTTTTTGTACTCTTTTAGCTTATGTCTCTCTCCAAACACATATTTGTATACATATTTATGTATATATATGTATGTGTGTGTATATTTTAGTGGTTGCCCTAGGGATTACAATATGCATGCTCAATTTATTTCAGTCT